TTTAACTGAATGATGTAAGAGGTTGTCATCCATAATTTTCCAGATGTTGTAATCTTCATATTTATTGATGGACATTATTTTAATATGTCTGGTCTTAGAAATCTAATGTTATAGCTAATGTTAACTTACATTGTAGTTAAGAGTCTGCAGTATTATTGATGATATTCTTACCTTACCGAACTCTGTACGTACAGTCTTGGAAGCAAATAGTAAATGAGATGGCATCACATTTGTGTCTGTTGCCTGTTTTAGGGATATTTAGTTATAATCCCTTTGAATTTGCAGTTTCTTTCAGACTGATAATTTAATGAAGCGTTTGAAGATTAAAAGTGTATTCTGTATTGACACCGGTCTAAATATTTGGTCATTTAAATGGTATTAGCAAGCGATAAACTTCTGAATGATCACTCTGTAGCTGTGGAGTTCAGTATCACTATGTTAAAAAGGCTGGAAAAAATTGATTTTCACTGACATCCAACATCTGCTAGGCTTTCAGAATGACAAGGCTGAGGTAAGGAAAGGAACGTAATTTTCTGCTGCATTGTATTTCCAGAGCGTATCTCCAGTATTGAACTGAAGGAGTGGTGGGTTACGCTCTGCAGAGGCTCATACACTGGTGCATATAAATGAACTAAAGCCTGTATTGTGAAATCAATGCTTATAGCCTTTGTTCTGTAAAAGTCAGGTATTCACAGCCCTACATCAAAATGTTTTATTAATTTTAAAGTGAATAGGCATCTTGTGTCTTCTTGAGTTCTTTTTCCTTGAGTAATAAAACACTGAGGAAATTACTTTTCATCTCTTTCCCAAGGTAGTCATTCCTGTTCTGTTCCATCTTAATCTCAATGAGTATTTCATAAATAGTCTGGAGGTTGCCTACCTTTTTCAAAAAAACGTACATTTCTGAAGTTCTGTGACACAGTTTAGCTCTGACTCTGTCAATATAAATTACTCTGAATGTGTGCCTTTCACTGACAGGCATGTAGTGTTATCTGCTTTGTCTTACTCCTTGTTTAAGTAACTATTAAAATTTGCAGGAACTAGTAAAACAGAGCTATTAATGAAATAAAATGAAATAATGAAAATAAAATGAAGTTGCTTTAATATAGTATAGCTAGTTGGTTAAAATTTGCCTTTCTGCTAGGCACAGCTGTTAATTTTTCTCCCTTGCAGCAAGCTTCCTTGATAATAAACGTTGTTATTGCATTATCAGCAATTTTCTTGTAACCTGTGTCATTTAGCTGATTTTTGTTCTTGTGGTGTTTCGTGTTGCAGTAATCTTTATCTCTTCATGTTTATAACCAAGTTTTAATTTGAGGGAGAGGCAGAAAGGCATCAAGTAGCTGTGCTTGGGTGTATGAAGATGCTTGATTTTGTGAGTGTACTTGTTCAGGTGGTGAGTGTTTGAGAGCTCGAAACAACATTTACCTGCACTGCAGCGAGCTTGGGTATTACCACTTGGTGAAACACTGGAGTTGCCAGAGAGAAAAATCAAGGGAACTCTTCATCTGGTCTGGGCTGATAAATAAAACCAGTTTACTTCGTGAGAAAGCTTGTGACTGTGCCAAAGTTAATAAAAAGTTGAGATGAACTTTGCTTGCTATGTTCAAAGGCGCTCTCCTTCCCAGAACAGCTTTCCATCAGATACTGCTAGATTATTGGAAGGCTCCTCAGCATCAGCGAGTCATACGTGCTGTAATCTGCAGTCAGTGTCCCTGCATGGGAGCCAAATGTTCAGCGATACCTCGGGGTCTCTGGTCCCAGCCGTCCCTCATTTCTTTCATGTGGTCTCACCCTGGGGGAGGAGGGAAGGGTGAGGAATCACCTCAGAGCTTTCTGGTCTTTTACAGTAGAGAATATTTGCACTAAGTCACCCACTATGGAGAGCTGCTCAGAGTAGTCCCTGGATTCAAAGGAAGCTCAAGAGGATGAGGGTCTGTACTGACAAACAGAAAGCTTTTGGTAATGCTTTTCTTTCCTTCTTATTCTCTAATTATACCTTTTTCCCCTATCTTGCTCATCACGCAGTTTGCCGTGATTGCAAGTACTAACAGCAGTTACAGGTTGTTGCTGCCTTGCTTAAAAATGCTAGATATTACAGTGCTGGCTCCTGTTTTCCTTCTGACGTTCTCTATTTCAAGTAAGGCTCGTTGCTTGTCGCTTCCGTGTGCGCCTTTCTGTGAATGGATGAGAAAGCATCCGACTGTGAAAGCAGATTTGCATGAGGTGACTCCTGTAAAAGTGTTACAATAGGCACCTTCCATCAGCACTTGAATATTTTTCTTTTAATCTGTTTAAGGACCGATTGCACAAGAGTTACCTCATGTTGCAAACAAACTTATAGCATTGTTTCTTCTGCTGTGATGCTAAACTAAGACTTTCTGTCTTGTATGAGCAATGATTTTAAAATGTCTTATTAACTCCAGTTCTGGATATTAAGATCCTGAACTTGAATAGTTTAATCTGAAATCTTATATATCATCAGAATAGATGTATCTCTAAAGAAGTGTAATTAAATGACCAGAATAACTTAGTGCTAAGAGGAAAATTATCCTGTGTGGTGGTGGGTTGGTTTTTTCTCCTCTCTCCACTCCTCTCTGCCTACGGATCCATTTCTTCACTGAAATTCTCTTATTAAAAGGCTTTTTACTTCAGTGAGCTAACAAAAATCAGGGAAAAAAATTATTATAGTTTGCTTTTCAGTCCTTGAATATTTATGTTTGTCAGTGTTCCTTAAGTGGGAGTTTACCTTCTGATCTGCGTTATGTTTGTTTTGTTATCTAGTCAAACACAGGGATTTGGACTTTTTTTTCCAACCATAATCATTTGAGGACAGACTTCCAAAGTGATCGGTATAGGAAAATTGAGATTTGAGTACTTAGACTATGTGGCAAATCCCAGAAATAATGGTCTCCTCATTTGATGATAATAGACAGAGCTATGTAGTGATTTTTGGAAGGAGTTTCTGTTGCAGGTTTGTATGCCACCAAAGCTAATTCACATCATTTCTGTTTCTGATGTTTAAAATATTCAACTAGTGTTGCTTGAAGTTGTAGTAACTGTTCCTGTTGTTTCCAGACAGCACATGCAACATTTGTGAGTTGCTAACTTAAAGCCATATTATATGTAAATAAGGGACTAAAGCAGAAGAATAATTATTTTCTTTTTATAAAAGTTTCTCTTTTCTTCTACAAGCTTTTTAATACTTTTTCTTTGTTTCTTAACACTTCACAGTTTGGTTTAGTTTTTCTTTAATTATGTATCGGAGTTTCTTTTATGTAAATGGAAACAGCCTTAATTAAAACAAAAAACAAACAAAAAACCCCACAAAAAATGCTGCCAGCGTTTCTGTAGGCAACTATTTACTTGTTTGCATTGTAGAAGAATCTTGAACCTTGGAACTGCAATTAAGCTTATATTTGATCTTGTTATTCTTGCATACATTACTTGGCGTTCACGGTAGAAATGCTAACGACGTTTCAGAGAAACCATCTTTAAATCACTATGGGAATTGCAGAAAGTTAATGTCAAAGCATTAAAAGTTCACACCAAGTCTGCTTCTTCAAACACAGTGCTGTTCTCTAAGCAAACTGTTAATGCAGCATTTTTATTTAAAGAACTGAACAACAATTAACTAAAACCAAGATGCAGTGCTGTTAAGATTTTAGGAAAGGAGTGAGAGCCATGCAGCCAAGGAGAGAATCATGTACTGAAGTAATCCACTTCATCTGTGGAAAGCCGTTGTACAAAACTAAGCAAACGAACACGTCCTTAAAGAGGAGAATCGGCTCCAGACAGTTCAAACATCGACAGTTGTATAGCAACAAAGTAAATGCAGGATGGAGAAGACGACTGTCTACCTACACTTGGTAAATTGAAACCAAATAGAAAATTTCCTGCGGAGGTTTTCTGCAAACAGTATCTGTCTCTCTGTTCTGGGGAATCAAAAAAGCAAATTAAATTTCTGTCCTTGGAACTGAAACTGTGAGTTCCCTCTTTCAAACATACAGAATGTACTTTGGTGGAATGATAGTAGCCAGTAATTTGAAACAGTCCAGAAGTCCTGTAGGGGAAAAAAAGTATACATCTTAAATTTATTAAGGACAATCTTTAAGAAAATGTTGCCAAAGACTTCAGACACTGAGGTGTGCTTAAAAAAAAAAATAAAATTCTTGTCTACCTAGATAGATTCTTCAATAGGGACTTCAAAATTGGTAAGAGTGGGGTGAAACTCTACTACAGAGATTGTACCTCGGTAATTTTTTTAAGAAAAAAGTATTTGAGATTATTGCATTAAATTTTGTCATGTATTGATGTTGGAAGAGGAGTATGAGGAAAGGGATCTGAGTTTCTGAAGAAACTTTTTTTAGGCTATTCTTAATTTAGGTTTGTTATGAATGTACTTTATCAGTGTGGAAGTACATAATGGTTTTTTCACTCCAAACACCTTTTGTGTACACAACTGAAGAGCTACTTGTGCTGAGAGGTTTTATAAAATAAATGTGGCACTTTCAAAGCGATACTGAGGTTGATGGTACAGTGCTCCTTATAATAAAAATTTTTCTCAATAAAATGGATGATGAAGAAGTTGTGTTTTGTTGTAGCTTTATTAGGACTGGAGCTTTTTGTGAAGCTAAGCCATGTATTGCCATTCCTGGTGATTTGTATTTGCACAGCTACTGTTGTTATTTGTATAGAAACTGTTGAACTGATGTACACATTTAATTTTTTATGTGTATGACAATTCCTTGCACCACTTTCTAGTTTTGGCACATTTGCTTCTTCAAATCTGATGACCTTTGGTTCCATCTTTCTCCCAAGGTATAGGCAGTGAACCCATTATGTGATAATGTGCTCAGTGAAGTCCATAGATGTCCTAATGTAACTTTTTTCATAATATCAGTTGTATAAGTTTAGTTTAAACAAGATCATTGGCAACCGTGAGTCCTTGCAGCCAGCTTAATCGACTTAGTCTGAACTTTTGACTTCTTTCTCTCTAGGCAGAACTGGTGAAAGGGAACCTGCAAAGCGTTGGGCTCACGCTCCGCCTTGTGCAGTCCAAGGAGGATGATGCTGGGCACGTTGTTATTGAAACAGTGACTCCAAACTCGCCTGCTGCTGCTGCTGATCTACAGAGAGGAGACAGACTTCTAGCAATTGGCAGTGAGTAATATGTCAGCTTTTAAAATCAGTGTCGTCTTGTGAACTGGAAGGGTGTTTCTGCATACGGTTTAACTAGCCCACCTTTTCCAACAATTACTGCTGTGCCTGGCACTCATAATAGAAACTAACATTTGTGTGTTTATGGCCACTCACGATTAATATTTTGTTAAATGCCTGCCTCTGAGAAGTCCAAATTTACTGTAAGATTAACAGCAAGATTAACAGCAAAGGTTAAAAATGTTAGTGTATAAAATCAAGATTATTCTTTAAGATTACAGCAATAACAAACAGCAAAGTGGACTGTGTATGTTAGTGTCATTTTCTGCTCCTCAAGTGAATGTTTCTATGCATAAAATAAAAAGGATCCAACTGCTACATTTAAGTTCAGCTCTTCTGTCACTTCCTCTGTTAGTGAGCAATGGTGTTACCACTATTAAAGTTCTAAATGTATTTGTCAACTATTTTTGGCCATTTTCAAGTTTAACATGTGGTTTGTTTTTTTTTTTAATAGGTGTTAAAATCACATCAACTGTCCAAGTGTTGAAGCTTATTAGACAGGCTGGGGACAGAGTTTTAGTCTTTTATGAAAGGCCTGTTGGGTATAATCAGCATGGTTCAGCACTGCAGGATGGATTTGGACAATTGGAAGACGCTGCTTTCTTGACACAGCCAGAAGATGACCAAGCTAGTTTATCAGCTGATGTTGATGGCAGAGATTTTGATTCAGAATTTGAGGAATTAGCTTGTGAATCACCTGACCAAAAAGAAGATCTGCCAACAACTCTAAGTCCCAAACGTTCAGTAGTAACACTTGCTGCTAAACCACTTGGTACTATATCTCCAATTCTGAATCGAAAACTACATTTAGGAAACTATCAGGCAACGTCAAAAATGCAAGTAAAAGATGGAGCAAAAATAGCAACACCTAAAACTGTTGAGGGTTCAGATCCATCACAGCAATCAGGTAAACAATCACAAGGATCTGGTACTAAGCCTCCTGTGCCACCTAGACCACAAAGTAAGCTTATTTTGCCTACTAGTGAAACTCAAAACGTGTTAGAAACTGGGGGTGTATCTTCTGAAAAACCTGAGAGGCCACCTCCACCTGCAATTAACGGAGATAAATGTACAGAGAAGGTAGTAAAGAATAACAGTGATCAAACAGAAGACCCAACGACATCAAAGCTAATAACAGCACCAAAACAAGATACTTTAAAAGATGGATTTTCAGAAAATGTGCGTAGTAACAAAGACAGTGGAGGTGACCATCAACCATGGGAATCGCCAGAAATTCCTTATAAGATCCGTCAAGGCCGATGGCCAAGGACAAGGACATCCTCCTGTCTGTTTGAAGTAGAAGGATACCATAAGTACCTTAATGTTGCACTGTGGTGCAGAGACCCTTTCAAAGCAGGTGGTTTTATCTGCTTAGGATATGCAAGTATAAAACTTGAAGACATTGCTTTAGAATGTATAGCTACATCCTCAATGGAATATAGTCAAACATATAAACTGGATGCTCCTGCACCTAAAGCAGCAGTCACTAGAACAGCATTGCGGAATTTGACAACCCATAAAGGATTCAATGAAAAGTTTTGTTATGGTGATGTGACTTTACACTTCAAGTATTTAGAGGAAGGTGAAACGGATGATTCAGTTGTTCTCCTAGAGAAGGAAAGGGAATGTCACTTGGAAGAAGAAACTCATGCACTTCAGAAAGAGGACCCTTATTTAGGACAAATTGTTGTTACAGAGAATAAGCATAACTTTCAGGATACTCAGTTTCAGAATCCAACTTGGTGTGATTACTGCAAAAAGAAAGTATGGACTAAAGCAGCTTCACAGTGCATGCTCTGTGCTTATGTTTGCCATAAAAAATGTCAAGAAAAATGTCTAACTGAGATGCCCTTTTGCGTAGGAGCTGAAAAGCGACTCGATCGAACTGTTGTGGGGGGTTGCAGAGCTGAAGGACAGGAAGCTCCCCAACCTGCATCCTCCCGTGTTGATTCGGAATCCAAATCTGTTAACAGAACTACAGGTTTGACCAGGCATATCATCAATACTAGTACCCGTTTGTTAAACCTGCGTCAAGTCCCCAAAGCCCGCATTTCTGAGCAAGGAACAGAGGTGGTAGAACCTTCGCCAAAGCACACACCAAACACTTCCGATAATGAAAGTAGCGATACTGAAATCAGCGGGCCGAGCAGTCCTTCAAAACGTGCATCGGGTACTGGGATAAAGTTGGTCCGGAAGGAGGGCGGTCTAGACGACAGCGTCTTCATTGCGGTTAAAGAAATTGGGCGTGATCTCTACAGAAGTTTACCCACAGAGGAGCGGTTTCAGAAATTAGAATTTATGTTGGATAAGCTGCAGAATGAAATAGACCAGGAGCTGGAAAATAATAATTCACTCGTTAAAGAAGAAAAAGAGACAACTGATGCAAGGAGAAAAGCATTTATTTCTGCTGCGCTGGCTAAGTCGGGTGAAAGACTGCAGGCCCTTACGCTGCTGATGATCCACTACAGGGCAGGCATTGAGGATATAGAGTCTTTGGAGAACATGTCCTTAGAGCGGCAGTCCAAAAGAGTGACTAAAGATTCAGAGGAATCCAATATAGCAGAAGAAATGGATAACGAAGACGTCAGTCTGACGGAGGCTACAACATTCAATGTCATATCGGAAGAACCAGTTGATCCACCTCAATCAGTAGACTGATATTTCCATATTTAGCTTTCGAAGGAATGGACTGAAAGGATACTTTTGCACTTGAGTACAAACACACATAAATGAAATTGGACACTGGTACAATGTACATGGCCTGCTTCTCCACGGTTATTTGCCTGTGTAAGAGTACAGCTGATACAGGTTCTTCTCCAGCTACAGCACCATGATTTTGTTAAACTGGCTGGTTAAAACTACATTTTTGGGGTTTATATTGGAAATTTATTTTTAATAACTTATTTTTTCTAATTGTGTAACCTTACCACTTCACATTGATGTGTGGTGTCCTTAAGATATTATTTGCGCCCCCGCCCTCCTTTTTTTTTTTTTAGGCTCCCGTCTCAAGCGAGAAAGGATTTTTGAAATGTGTAGTTTCTATTGTATGTTGACAAACAAAATTATAAGCTTGTTGCATGCCTAAGCTGATGGCTGATACCGAAATCATGGAGGGACCAGGCTTTAAAATGTTGATCACAGTTCTTGTATGTCTTCTAGGTAGTTGTGTATTTTTTGCCAAACATGTCATGAAAGCAAATAAAACGTCTTTCATCTTGTCTGTTATTAATATTTACTAAAGCTAACATTGCATATCACTCGTTTCCTGTATTTTTGTTAAATATAAGAACTTTTCATAGTCTGTAATTAACATGAAATATAGCAATGCTATGCTAATGAAAAATCCTCCTTAGACATTTGGGCTGTGGTATCCTGACTGAATAATACTAGCTACCAAAGTACATACCAGTATCTCATAATAATGTATTCAAGAGTATTTTTGAGGTAAGAGGCTGGTTGCCTTCCAAACAAAAGGATATGTTTAAGTGCTGTTGTATTATCTGATTAACCTGATAAAGGAAAATTGTTCTTCACGAAAGTTGGAGGTTTCATTGCATTCTGTGAAAAAACATGTAATGATGGTTTAAGTCATTAAAAATATATATATTCTGCTGCAGACTTTATCGATAGTTTCAGAAGGCTTAAGGTACAAAATACTTTACAAAATAGCTACATGTGTTCTCTCGACACTTTTTTGAGTAATCGTGCAGTGGTAAGTTGCATTCGGCTTCTGAGACAGAAGGGTCTGAGCAGAAGGATCACCTTTGTCAGGAAAATGTCCTATGATGTATATAACATGTTTTATTTGAGTCAAATAAGTGAGTCCAGTAGAGCTGAGGAAGAATTTCAGCCAGCAGCTTTTGAAAAGAACTATCTGGTCTTGTGCTATGTGTAAACTGTGGATCTTAGCATCACCTGGCTAAGGCCGTTGTTCTTATTTATTTCATGTAAACACGTCTTTGTTTCATCTTCTGTGTATAGAAATGCCGTATAAAATATCACTTTTATTTTAGGTACTGTGTTAGGTACTGGTATCACTGGTAGTAGGAAAAAAAATGCCTTTGTGGAAATGGAGTTGAATGTAAGATGGTAAACAAACTCATTTAATTTTTCAGGCAGTCTGTAATGTACCTTTCCATTAAGTTTGCTTCTCAGTTTATTTTGTGATGGGCAAAATTAAGAAGCAATGGTTTTCTCAGACGGAAAAGCGTACTCGTACTCCTGAATGAAACGGTTACTTCCACTCATGCAACTACTTGCACTTTTTTGTGAGTTCTGGGCAGTTGATACTTAATCAGTTGATGTATGGAAAACACTATCCATGCTAAAATAGGCATGTGACACTTCTGAAATTAAGCTTCAGCAAATAACCGCACAAAATTAGCTTCCCTTATTGACTAAAAGTTATTTAACCTATACTTGCTTGAGATGCGTATTAAGACTTCCCTACTCCATTATCTCGGTGGCTTACCATTGGTGGTGATCTGCATTCAATCTCCATCAGTGTGTGCTCTTAAGGACTATTATAGAGGTTTTCAAATATATCCAAGTACTTCATTTAAACCCTGGTACACATGAAGGAGCTGTGAAAACAATGCAAATACTGATTTTAAAAAAAATAATACATTCAAGGTTTAAAATTGACTTGTGTGATACAGTGGGTAAGAAAAGCTGGATATCGTTTTCCTCTTATAGCATTGCTAATGATGATTGTAAGAGATAGATTAAACGTAGTGCAATATTTTTAAATATACCGAATGGGAAAAGAGCAAAATAGTTGTATTTTAGTGACAAGAAGGAAAACATAAATTCCTATCTGGCATTAATTACAATAAATGGTGAATCTCGAGAGGAAAATTGTAATACTACATTCCCGATGTTATCTTCGCTTCGTGCTTGACTGTAAATAGCTGAAAATAAAGAATACCACAGAAAACAAGAATATCTTGACTTAATGATATCTGAATAGGTGGCAGCTACACACATTTGCAGAAGATCTGCCTAATATGATTTTGTTGGCTATTATTTTATCATGAGAATAAGCTTTAATAAAATAGTTTTGCTAAATTATCAACTTCTTTGCACTGTGTTAATATTTTTTTTAACATTTCTATTGCAGTAGTTTATCATCCAAAGCCACTACTTAGAGGGAAAATCTTTGGGAGAAAAACACGCATTTTGCAATAAGTAAACCTATTGATTTCTGGATTAATTGGGCTTTTATGCGTTCTTTCTATTTGCATATGCATTTATTTTTATCCTACACAGTTTAATAGTAGACTTAGATTTGTTTCAAAATGGTGATTCCAGTTGATACTTTATGTAGCTGGAGAATCTCATAAAATGTTGAGGATATTTTGGGGGTTTTTAAGACTTCCAAGCACAAATAATAATTGAATGGCAATATTGGTGATAGTGACTACCACTAGAGTTACGTTAGAGGAAAAAGTCTTCTGGCTTGTCCTGTCCTCCAGTAAATGTTACTGTTTACTAGCTCATTTTACTCATCAGTTGTTCCTTGTAATTGCCTGTCCTTGCTTGGGGTTTTATCCCTCAAATTTGAAATAAAACATGTGAAAGTTTGCAGCTGCAGGGAAGGGCTAAGTAGTGGGAGCAAATGAACTAAGGGATTTTATTACGCTTAAATTTACACAGATAAAAATATTCAAAATATGAAAGAACAAATTATTTTGGGACAGACTGGGGTTTTTGAGTATTTTCTGTGACTGAAGTTACTTCCTGATTGTCAACAAAAAAGGGTTTTGTGTTGGATTACTTATTCCTCCATGGCATAGAAGATCCAAAAACGGCTGCTGTATGTCTTTTTTTTGGGACGAAAAGGTGGCACAGAGAGCCCAAAGATGGCTTCCTTCCTCTGACTTCTGGTGCACCAGGAGTGGAGCTGTGTGGGCCTGAGGTGGCTCTGCTCACTGTCCATGGTAGGAGGCTGGGCTGTACGGGCCCTGTAGAAACCTGGCTCCATCTGCAGAAAAGGAGAGCAATCATTTCATCTGTCCTTGGGCCTCCTCGTACTCGTTTTGTGTTTCAGATTAATGTGAACTCTTCCTTAATTTTGATATGCTCAAAAGCACAAAACCAAGTCACGAAGTAAGTCATTCTATGCTTTTTTTTTAATGTATAAGTTACTATGTTTGCATTACTTTTACACTTGTGAATTTAAGCAATACATTGGTTAATCAGCTGGCAAATAGATGAACATGTGTGATAATTAAGACTTCTAACATCAGTATATTAGTTTCAAATGTAATTGGATTAACAATTTGATGCTGGCCAAAAGAGGTCAGTTAAGCTCAGTAAAATAACTTCTCTTGAGGCAAAGTATCCATGTGATCTACAAGATTAAAATCAGAATCTATTGTAAATAATCATTGATATACACAATTGTCACTCATTCAGTGGCAGTGAAGTACTCAGATTACTGCAGAATCTTGGGTTTTGCTATATTCATGTCTGTCTCCAAACACCTCCGATTTGAAGAAAGGATTTCTATCCTTTATATAGACAAAAGAATGCAATCAAAAAATAAATCACTATAAATACCTGTAAGATCATTTTTCACATCAAGCTTGGCCTTTCACACCATTTAAGCCTCTTGCAATGTTTTCTCTGAATCTCCACCCTTATTTAAAGAACATACAGGGCTGTCCCCTGGTACCGCATGTTTTGGGCCTTACCCATTTCCCAGCAGTTAAGCCTCAGACCAGCAGCCACGTAACAGACTGGTTTTGGAAGCTATTGTGGTTACACGTATTTCTGAACTGGAGTGAAAATGTTTGTCCTGAGTTACAGGTGGACTAGAAATGAGGATTTCTTTCCCATGACCTAAGATATTTGCTGGCTTTTTTCCTCGCCAAGTAGTATACAGTAAACCACAGTATGTGAGGCAAATCATGAGGGGGATTCTTCTTTTATTATAATTTTTACTTGATTACAATAGATAATGAACTTCCTTTAGAGAACTTTATTTTAATGTGGTCTGAATGCATAATTATTGACAAAGCAATACTTGAAGTTTGACCCACTATATTCTTCATATTTTCTGACCATAGTATATACACTTTACAAAACTATATGTAAACATAGTATCTATGCTGTAGTACGTAAAACATCTGCAATTACATTAAAGAAGGCACATAAAGATTTTAATTTTACAAACGGAAAGATACACCACAGTTGAGAAGGACATTAGGATTGTTCTAAACTGCTTTCTTTCAAAATGTGATTTTCTCAGTGCAGATAGGGGCTGCCTAATCCAGTGCTTCACCTGTGTTAGACCATGTCCTCAAATGTTATGAGATGTTGGTAACTGGTCTTTTTTCATTATTTTTAGCAAAGTTGATATTTTAACTTCATTTTTTGAAAAATAAATATATATAGAATTTCTAGATGTGTGCACAAAAGCATGTAAAACAGTTTTTTGTTTGAACTGCTTAAGTTATCAGCTCACTTCCAGTACATGCTAAGACTAAGTACTGTGGTACTGCAGCTTTTCTCAATCAGTCGCTTAAGATGCTTCTAAAATAAAGTTGAGATATGTTAAATACAAATGATGGAAACATAAAAAGTATCTTCCTGCTGTTCTTATTTCCCTTAAGGAAAAGGAACGCTGCACATTCATACGCATTTGTCTACCCAGT